ATGAACTCTTCGGAAAACTTACTTTTTCCTGTTTTTGCATTATGTAGTTAGGTCAGGACTACATAATGATGCCCTGGATGCAGAATTAGTTAAATAGATATCTTTTGTGGCTAGTGTCAGACAAGAGATGGAGTACCAACTACTGGGGAGAGGACCTTCTCTGGCCCAACTTCCAGGCAAAGGTTGTCCTCTCAGGATGTTGGCACCCTGGGGACAACCAGTGCTACTATGATAGGGCAGTGGCACTTTCTACTTAATGAAATGTTATGGAAACCCTCAGATTTGTTCCAGCCATGTTTTTTTTTCAAGTAATTTACAAACTTCTGACATCTGCATTTGCAATGATCATGAAAAGATAGTGTAAGAATGACCTTACTGGTTCAGACCACAGGTTCTAATTCTCTCATTATCAGTGACATATGTAGGGAAGGATATAAGTGTAGGTAAGTTTGTGGTGATACGTCCTTCAAATGTTCTCCTAATCTCCAATGGTTTGGGTGCCAGGGATTTCCTGAGCCAGGAGGGGTTTCTTTGTATGCAGTAACCCTCAACAGATTTCATTCCTGAGAGTTTTACAGTTTTCCCCTAAACTCATATAAGTTGGTAGCATCCTGTGATGAAGAGTTCCAAAAGTAGAATGAATCGTAGAATAGAATCATAGGATGGTTTGAGTTGGAAGGGACCTTTAAAGGTCACCTAGTCCAATCCCCCTGCAATGAGCAAGGACTTCTTCAACTGGATCAGGTTACTCAGAGCCCCATGTGACCTGACCTTGAATGTTTCCAGGAATGGGGCATCTATCACCTTTCTGGGGCAACCTGTTCCAGTGTTTCACCAACCTCATTGTAAAAAATTTCTTCATTATATCTAGTCTGAATCTGCCTTCTTTTAGTTTAAAACCATTACCCCTTGTCCTATCACAACAGGCCCTGCTAAAAAGTTTGTTCCCATCTTTGCGCCCCACTAATGCCCCCTTTAAGTACTGAAAAGCCACAATAAGGTCTCCCCTCAGCCTTCTCTTCTCCAGGCTGAACAACACCAACTCTCTCAGCATGTCCTCATAAGAGAGGTGCTCCACCCCTCTGATCATTTTTGTGGCCCTCCTCTGGACCCACTCCAGCAGGTCCGTGTCTTTCCTGTGCTGAGGGCTCCAGAGCTTGACGCAGTCCTCCAAGTGGGGTCTCACCAGAATGGAGTAGAATGGCAGAATCACCTCCCTCGACCTGCTGGCCATGCTTCTTTTGATGTAGCCCAGGATACGGTTGGCCTTCTGGGCTGCGAGCACACATTGTCAGCTCACATCCAGCTTTTCATCGACCAGTACCAGCAGTCCCTCTCAGCAGGCCTGCTCTCAGTCCCTTGATCCCCCAGCCTGTATTGATACTGGGGGTTGCCCTGGCCCAGGTGCAGGATCTTGCACTTAACCTTGTTGAACCTCATGAGGAAATGGGAATGGAAAATTATTTTCCTTCTGTAAAAATAGATGTGAACACAACATGAAGTAATAATTATTTCTACAGATTATTTAACTACAGAGGTGCTGCTTCTGTTTAAAGAGAAACAGCTGAAAGTAACAATTTTTTTTATCCTGTTTATGCGAAGTGTTACATTTGGCTAAGAATGGCCCATATATGCATTTTTTCATCAATATATTAAGTAAAAATAGTCATCATGCTTCTGTCTGCTTTGGATTGATTCTTTCTTAGCTTTAGATGCTCTTTGTGTAACAGATTTTTTTTTTTTTTTTTATTTCTTGTTATACTCTTTCTCCAGTAATATATAAAACCAGTTTGCTGCATCTTCAGCCCAGGCAGATGACAATATATCTCCCAGAAGTGCGAAAAATTTCAATGGACTACATTAACCTGCCTGTCTTTAATCCAAATGTTTTCAGTGAAGACGAAGATGATTTACCAGGTAAGGAGGAGCTGGAGGTCTGCCATGTTATGGGTTAAGCTAGATGGAGGACAGATCACTTGTGTCACTACCCCCCTCTGGGAAACTCAAATCAAAATCGCTTAGTCTGATGGGGTCCTGTAGAACTGAATTAGCATAATTCACAGGAGTGGCCATCAGGCCAGTACCCTTTAAGGAGGAAGGAGTGTGAGCACTGCAAAGCAATTAAAGGCTTGTGCTAGAGTCTGTTGAAAGAAATGGAAATACTTCCATTGTTTCAGACCAACATTTTGACAGCTGAAAGTACCAAAGCTTGTGTCTGACCCAAGCATCAGAGTAGTCTAAGGAAATACTCGTGTGCTTGAAATGAAACCCATTCTTTCACAATTTGGGGCTTTGCTCGCCTAATTTACTTCTACGTGGTATTCACCTGTAGGTTCCAAAGAAAATAATAGAGACATTGATGGTTGTATATATATTGTGCATAGGAAGCACTCAACATTTTCTATTATGAAACATGGTCCAAGCTGACAGAAAGTAATACAAAAATTAAATAGAAAAAAAAAGTTAATACAAAGTCTTTCCATCCCTTCCTAAAAATTTGATTAGATCTGCAATATCAATTCCTTTCATATTATGGAAAGAGCTGAAATGGTACTCAGAATTGCAGGGAGTTTTGTTACAGGTCTGTGAGAAGGCTAGTAAAAGAATCATACTGCTCTGTTCCCCATAACAGCCTTCCTATTCTTGTCCACTTTTTTCTTTCTAGTTTATTCTGAAAATTCATTTCTGACTTAGCAAATGCAGGCTACTTAAATCTTCAAAACATCTTTGGGGATGTCCTTTCTTAAAGCCTGCATGTAAAGGAAAAAAGTGCCATTTACTAATGGGAAAAAATATTGCAGTGTAAATAATGATAACATGATAGGTTAAAAACCAACATAGCAGAAAGCTGCTCTTGGGCAGTGGAATGTTGATAGTGAGATACTCTTGGGACAGGTGTTCTTTAAAATAGTCAGTAAAGATTTGGCAAGGCAAATGAACAGTGAATTTATTTAACTTGCAAATTATGTAAACAAATAAATTAAAAACCATTGGAGAAATGAAAAAAAAATTGGATGAAAACACTTTGGGATATTAAGTAACACCACGACAAATGAGATTTTGTTTGATAAGGCACTTAATACCCATGACAGCAACATTCTGGGTTGCTCAAGCCAAGCTAACAATTAAACCTCAAGCTTTGGCAGATAAATTGCTAACCTGCAGGCATCAGGATGAAAGCACACCCTGCCAGCTGAGCACAGAACCATGCTGCCTTAGGGGCAGTTAAGTTTAGCTGACAGTCTTCTTCTAAAGGAACGAACAGAACTACCATAAAAATTTGCCAGCATAGCCACAGATCTATCTGTACATGTACGACATTTGTCACTGATGCTGATAAAAGCCTAATGCTATCAAAAATATAATTATAGGGCATAACGAGAATTTTAAGTAGAAATTAATTAGGAACTGGGCTGTGGCTGGAGGAGTCCTGACTAATGAAACTCTTGCCTGATCTGGTCTTGCAGATCAGAGATCTCCACAGAATTTGGCACACTTAAATGATCCTGGATATGTCTCTAGGATCCTGTATATTACTCTAGTGTCTTTTCCTCCCATAAACCCTGCTGATGTTTTTTATGTCAGAAAACTAATAAAGAATCTGGAGGATTCTTGGGGGTTTTAATATAGTATATACTGTTTCCCCCCATTATTATATCTTGTTCCTTCTTACCTTGACACTTGGTTCCAGTGTTCTAATTTCCCTGCCGTGTTCCAGCTTTTCAGTGGTAGTTCCTCTTGGAATCACTCTCACCACTTTTTGCAATAGGAATTACAAGCAACTGAGCAAGCTCCATGCTTCTGCTTAAAATCATCAGAATTGCTTCTTGCCTCGCTGTCCCTTGTTCACCACTACCACGTGTGGGAAACTCTTCCTATATACATTTGCCTCTTTTTACATTTCTGATTGCAGCCTGTCCAAACATTGATGTTGAGGTCTCCCTGACTACAGTACTCACTTCTTGAATCTTTTTGGCTTCCCATCTGTTTCCTCACATCTTGCTCTTGCATTTCCTATCTGGCTTCTCATCTATTTCCTCACAGCTTTTCCATACAAATCTTCTTTCAAGAACTTTTATGAGTTTTGTCTGTATTTCATTCCATCATATTCCGCTCTGTCTTTGTTTCATCTTCCTTCTTTTTGCATTACTGGTTGCTTTGTCACCCACTTTACTCAAGAGATAATACTACTTCCCTTTTCTCAACTGTCATCTATATTGTCCAGTTTTCCTAAACTCATTGAGTCTGGGGATATTATACTAGATACTATACAGTGCCTTCAGTGCAGGTCTTCGACTTTCTTTTTCTTTTCTTCCACTTCCTTTTTTTTTTTTTTTTTTTTTTTGATGACAACAAATGTCCAGGTAAAAACTCCTAATTACTGTCAGATCAGGGCAGGCTTGAGGAGCATCATTTCATCCTCCTGAAGCTTGGTTCAGGATGGCACCTGACTGCCGCTAGAGGATATCAGCCTGGGCTGGTGGGGACTTTTTTGTGCCTCACCATCAGGCAGCAGCTGCCCTAGAGGAAGCCAGGAGGACTAGGGACAAAGAAGCTAGAACTAGGGGCAAAAAAGCGGTGGCAGCAGCCACAGGTCTGTGAGCAGATTTTCCTTTCTGTTGTTTGTTGATGTATTTATTATCAAAAAATCTCTCTGAAAACTACTGAGTCCTGTTTCAGCAAAACTTTAATTTATTTGAGTAGGAGTAGTTAAAATTGGCTGATAAGTGTATGGTTATTCAGACCCATCAGGTAAATTCCTTGCTTTGTGAAAGTCTGTGGCATAGTGTAGACTGAAAGTGAGCTCTGAACTTTACCCTTGAAGATCGTTCCCAAGAACTTAATTTAAAGTTTACCACCAACCATTACAATCAGTGGAGACAGGCTGGCTTACTTGTGCAAACTACGGTCTGATCCATTGATTTTGGGATCTGATAGCAGTCCCTCCAAATGCAGCAAAGCACTTAAGCAAGTACATAAAGATAGCAGATAAAAAGTCAAAGGTAAAGTGGAATGACAAAGTACAAAAGATGTGCAGTGTTTTTTTCTTCTAACTAGCTTTAAAAAACTATGTCCCCCCAGTTTCTGATTGTTATGTCAATGCTGCCATGAAATTTTCCCATTAACGTTTTTTAGTGACCCGCATGTCTTCCACAAGTGCTGAGGAAACCCCCAAAATATGTGAAATACTGCTTCAGGAAAATTCCCTATTTTAGTGCCTGTTACCCAACCGCTTGCAGTCTGCGAAGGCTCATGGCCCCTTGCACTTCTGGGCCCCAGGCTGGGGCGGCCCCACAGCACAGGCCTCATCACTGCCATGGCGTATGAGGGGCCCCTGGGGCAGAGGAGGCCAGGGTGCACGTCCCCCCACGGAGCAGCGGGTGCCAGAAGTTGGATCCAGAGAACTGCAGGCCTGTCAGTCTGACCTTGGTGCCGGGGAAGGTTATGGAGCAGATCATCCTGAGTGCCATCATGTGGCGCTTTCAGGACAACCAGGCGATCAGGCCCAGTCAGCATGGGTTTATGAAAGGCAGGACCTGCTTGACTAACCTGAGCTCCTTCTGTGGCAAGGTGGCCCGCTCAGTGGACGAGGGGGAAAGGCTGTGGGTGTTGTCTGCCTAGACTTTAGTAAAGCCTTTCACACCGTTTCCCACAGCATTCTCCTGGAATGCTGGCTGCTCATGGCTGGGATGGGCGTACACTTTGCTGGGTGAAAAATTGGCCGGCTGGCTGGGCCCAAAGAGTGGTGGTGAATGGAGTTAAATCCAGTTGGCCGGTCACAAGCGGTGTTCCCCAGGGCTCAGTATTGGGGCCAGTTCTGTTTAATATCTTTATCAATGATCTGGACGAGGGATCGAGTGTGCCCTCAGTAAGTTTGCAGGTGACACCAAGTTGGGCAGGAGTATTGGTCTGCTTGAGGGTAGGGAGGCTCTGCAGAGGGACCTGGACAGGCTGTATCGATGGGCCAAGGCCAACTGCATGAGCTTCAACAAGGCTTAGTGCTGGGTCCTGCACCTGGGTCACAACAACCCTATGCAACACTACAGGCTTGGGGATGAGTGGCTGGAAAGCTGCCCAGCGGAAAAGACCTGGGGGTGTTGGTCAACAACTGGCTGAATATGAGCCAGCAGTGTGCCCAGGTGGCCAAGAAGGCCAACAGCATCCTGGTTTGTATCAGGAATAGTGTGGCCAGCAGGAGCAGGGAAGTGATCATCTCCCTGTACTCGGCACTGGCGAGGCCGCACCTCGAATACTGTATTCAGTTTTGGGCCCCTCACTACACTGAGGTGCTGGAGCATGTCCAGAATAGGGCAACAAAGCTGGTGAGGGGTCTGGAGCACAAGTCTGATGAGGACCGGCTGAGGGAACTGGGGTTGTTTAGTCTGGAGAAGAGGAGGCTGAGGGGAGACCTTATCGCCCTCTACAACTGCCTGACAGGGGGGTGTAACAAGGTGAGTGTTGGTCTCTTCTACCAAGTAACAAGCGATAGGACAAGAGGAAATGGCCTCAAGCTGCACCAGGGGAGGTTTAGATTGGATATTAGGAAAAATTTCTTCATTGAAAGGGTTGTCAAGCATTGGAATAGGCTGCCCAGGGAAGCAGTGGAGTCCCCATCCCTGGAGGTATTTAAAAGACAGGTAGATGTGGTGCTTAGGGACATGGTTTAGTGGTGGACTTGGCAGTGCTAGGTTAACAGTTGGACTTGATGATGGACTTAGGTCTTTTCCAACCTAAGTGATCCTATGATTCTGTGACACGCTGTGTTGTTTGTTGCAGTGCCTGGCGCCCCCGGTGCCCCCGCCAGCAGCCCGCCGTGCACCGTCAACATCCCCATCGCCCCCATCCACAGCTCAGCCCAGGCCATGTCGCCCACGCAGAGCATCGGCCTGGTCCAGTCGCTGCTGGCCAATCAGAACGTGCAGCTGGACGTGCTGGCCAATCCACCGGCGGAAGCGGGGGGTGACGGGGCGGGGCCCTTCCCGGGGGTGCCAGGACGCTTTCCTGGCCCTGGGGCGGGGGCGCTTGCT